GATCGTCGTGTCTCACCGTTTTACGAACCTAAAAATCGAAAATCCAGTTGCTAGACACTAACCCTATATAAGACCTTTTACTTAGGGCAGCACACAATATCTTCAACATGGAGGACTTTCCATTGCTTGAGATGTGAATCAACACTATCTTCGATATGCCTCCTTTTTCTTTCCATCTCCTCTATGGCTCCCTTTATCCCACTTTCCACTTCCTCTTTCTGCAAACAACAAGACATGATTTTAGCTCCAGCTTTATTAACCACTTCTGAAATATTTTCTTTTATATGGATAGTTAAATAAATAAAAAAAAAAAAGAAAACAAAAAACTGTTCTGTAACTACAGGTTGTTTCAAAATATTAAAAATTCAATTCTCTTCTTTTAGTAAGAAGGTGATTGTCTGTTCATTTACTAATTTCCCCTTTTTTCCCAAAATAAAAACTGTGGTCTAGTTTAGGGAGATGTGCTAAACGAGTCGATAACGAGCTCAAGTCCGACTCATTTATCATTTTCTCTGCGTGCCTAGCTCGAGCTTTAACAAGCTGATTTATTAGAAGTTACATAAGAATTATATTTACGAGCTCGGCTCGGCTCGTTAACTAAATCAACTCAAGCCTTGGTATGTTGTAACTAGCTTAGCCGTGCTCGCGAATGACTTGTTTGCCCTACCTGCTCAAACTTGGATTTCATTGTATTTTCTTGAAAAAGGAAAGAATAGGGATTGGAAGCTTACTGGGATGGTATCAGGGACTGGAAGCTTAGAACCATGCACGGCGGCGCGGTTGGCTGCTTTCGTCACCATCCACCGCAGGCTTTGGCTGCAGACGGCGGCGCGGCCACCGGCTAGCTCTCCGCCCAACATTTTTGTTGACATTTATGATCCAACGATATTATTTTCTTCAATTCTTGGAGAAATGTAGAAGATTGATAATGTTCTCTTTTTATTTGGGGTAGGAATAAAAAAAATAAAAAATAGAAGTTGATGTAAATCACTAGAGACGTCTGGAGTGCATGCCAAGTCGCCACGTGCAACGGTGCACGGCCTATTCCTCACTTAATTAGCACGAAATATTTTATTCACTAACAATTATTGTTGTGCTCTGGAGTTCATTTAATGTATGCGGTTGAGCTCCTTAACGAGTCGAGTTTGTTTTTGAGCTCAAAGTTTGTGCACGAGCTTTCATTAAGAAAACGTAATTGAATGAGCTCAAGCTTCAGTCTATTATCAATATTAACGAGCTAAACTGTTACCGTGTATATTTATGTCCATATCTTGTATATTATTAGAGGATATATTCTAG